GTGACCTAATAATTAAAGTATTGGTTAAGAGATTGTCATTAGTGTACAAAGCTGTTACAAGCCAAACACTGGAGGAATTTGAAGTATGAAATACGTTTGTTTGCTTTTTGCATACTACATAAACCCATATGCATTATTTCATAGTTTTGATGTACTCTGTATCAACAGTCAGAATAAGCCCAATATGCACTTTGTTTAAGGTCCATTCCATTATCCATCCATGATCTATACACCTCTTAATCCTTACTAGGGTCATGGGGGGCTGGAGTCTATCCCAGCTGACTCAGGCTGAAGGCAGGGGACACCCTGGACAGGTCACCAGTCTATCACAGGGCTACACTCAGAGACAGACAACCAAGCACACTCACTTTCACACCTACGGACAATTTAGAATCACCAATTAACCTCAACATGTTTTTGGAGATTCCACGCTGCATGGGGAGAACATGCAAACGCACGCAGAAAGATCCCAGGTGTCCTCACTGGGACGCGAACCTTCTTGCTGCGAGGCAACAATGCTAACCACCGAGCCACCTTGCAGCCCTGTTTAGGGTCATTTTTTACTTTCAGCCAGGGTCATGGACGTGGATGTCTGTATGCAGCCCAACATTTGTGATCAGGTAAACTGTACGACTCCAAATCCTACCATCTGTGTATGTGACAGGACAACAAATGATGCTCAAAACAGTTGCTTGTTTTGAGGAGATTTACTGTTATCCACACCTTTATAATTCATTGTTAAGACAGTTATTATTGAAGAAGTTGCTACCAGACTTTGAAGATGCTTCGATTTTGAAGTTTTCAATTGCGGGCGCCCGAACACAGTGGAAATTCTCCAGAAATCCTGTGCTATGCCCGGCCACTGTGGAATAATCACAGTGACATTGTAGAACTGCTACATCCTTTGAGCAAAATTCAGCCTTTCAGAAGCATCCACGGGATCCCTGTATCTTTTTCTGTGGTCGATATTAGAGCAGGCCAACGTGTACCTATTGTAATATGAACAGAACTAGTTGCATGTCTCATGTTTGCCTTAAAGCCACATTGGTCAGCACATGGGGATGTAGAAATCATGACTTGGCAGCTAAAAGACAATAAAATGTATAGTGAAGCTAACTAGGAACAGCTTTTTGAATTTACTGGGGCTTTTCCCCCCAACAACGAGGAAACTTGACAGGTGCTCATAATCTGCCAAATGAACAAAACAAACATCTCGGAAAAATCTGGATGATGTTATTGTCACTGCCTCCAAATCCTGAGGCAGTGATTGGCTTGGATCTTGACAATGCTCACCGCTACAAATTGCACATATTGTTTCGTGTCTTGTGAGGGACAAACAAGTTCTCCACAGTGTAATTACATATTTTTGAAGTACACCAACAGTCCATTGTGTCCCTTTAACCAAAAAATATGCTAAAATTTGTCCAGACCTCCTTGTGCTTTACGAGTCTGGTTACAGAAGATTAAGTCCAAACTGCTGTTGCTTCACTTTTCTGGATACGAGCGCCTGTAACAGCTGGATGACCTGAGTCCACAAAACAAACAGGTTTCTGGAGGGAATTATCGAAGACTGGACTTCTTCTCCCTCCTTGTCAGAAACTGGAGCTCAAGCGTGGAAATGCCCCGAGACGCTTCTAACTAATAAAATCACGAGAAAGATTATTTTCTCTTCAGCCCAATAAATTCTTAACAGGAACACACAGTGTAAATAGTAAATTCCCCTCCTTCCCTTTTTTCTTTTTCTCCTTTAAAGGCACTTGAGTATAATCATTATTCATCATAATTACTCATCTCCGTCTTTCCAGCCAATGCGTCTCTCTCAGCTCCCTCTGTTTTTGTTTGATTTGGCCAATGGCTGCGCCGTGAAAGCGATCCTCCCCAGTAAATCCATTCATGGTTGACCACTTTGACTCCCCTAACTAGAGCAAAGCAAAGCAGAGCAGCCACATCTGGCAAACGGTTCCCACATCTGGTTTGTGTATCAGCTCCTTGCACGGCCGTCTACCACGGAGTCTGATAGCACGCCTCGGAGAGACATGAGATGAGATGAGATGAGTTACAGACACTCCAGGGAAGAGAAGCTCGAGGACGGTGAGCGAGTTCGTGTTCAGAGGTCAGATACACAGAGAGAGGAAATGTCACTCACTGACAAAATACCAGACAGAGAAACAGCTGCATGCGTCCACCGCTTTCTAGTGTTCTTTGCATTTTAATTGAGCTGGAAATTCAACTAAAGTACACCTTTGTTTTGTTTTTTTATTGCCTTCAATCTTCCATAAAAATAAATCTGGGCCTTTAAAGCAAGATATCAGTTTCACAAGCACAATAAAAACAACAATCCGGCGTTGTTAAAATTAAACGAGACATTTAAAAGTTGCTTAGTTTTCAGCGTTTTAAGCTAAAGATTGTAGAGATAAAATTTACCATGCAGAAAGACAAAAAAAAAAACAACACTTCAGTTCTCATTCAGATACAGATAAAACATTTTATTAATCCCGCAGGAAATTATCCAGCATCCAGGAGGTTATTGAGTACAAACAAAAACAAAGAAGGGCGAGAAGGACAGCTAACAGCGAGCAGACAAGACGGCGAGTGATGATGACAGCACATCAAGTGTTAATAAGACGCAGATGTGACATGATACCCTCTCCAACGTAAAACTGAATGAGGACTGTTGGAACCGTTTGTAGGATTCAGACGAGTTACATCCAATGAGATGCTGCCCTCTTGTGTCTGACCTGTATGTTTGCTCTGCAGCCTGGTGTCTGATTTTAATGGAACAATATGTATGTCGGACAGCGTTTCCCTCGCTTGGTTTCTCTCGCCACAGCTGAATGAAAATCCTGATTCTCAGTAATGAAGAAAACCGTGCTGACGTGTTGCCCTTTATTTCCACACTCAGGTATACTGTGCATTCTCAAATACACGCCACAGTTCAGTTTCTCTCAACAGCTTATGCATTTCTTGCTGCTTTCATGCACAGATTAAATGCATATCCTCAAATGATTGAGCGAGCCGCTGTGTAAATACAATATATTTGATCCATCTGTCAAAACATTGGAAACACAAATGTTTGCCCACATTGTCAAACGTAGATTACAGACGCAGCTTCTCGGCTACAACTTCTCAAACACGTTTACGCCGGGCTGAAATGTGACACTTGTACTCGCTACCTCTTGCATGATAATGTCACACAGACAAAAAGTCGAATGGTTTTCATGAACGTGACAACGAGTTCAACTATCTGACTATAACGGAGCGGCGGCTTTGGGATGTGGAAGAAACTGGAGATTCGTGGCGTGAATGTGCTGCTGACAAATCAGCAGAAAAGATGCAATCATGTCAACAAGGAGCAGAATCTCAAAGCAATGTGTTTTTAACATGCTGTGAGATATGAGAGCAAGGAGAGGCCTGACCCAGTAATAATACGGTGTCCTAATAGCGCTCTGTGTTCGCTGTTTGAGCGTTGCACCTGATAGCGGCCTTCACAACAGCCGGCACTCCGTGATAACATGTGAGCCACCAGTCGGTACACAGCAGCAGTGTTCAAGGTAAAGCTCAGATAGACCAACATGTATGAGATGAATATTAAAAGTGAGGAACCTTTGGAACAGGCGTTATTGTTTGTAAATCAACAGGAGAATTTCAATATAGACAGAAAATGTTATTGGCCTGTAGATGTTTGCTTATTTCAGCGATGCACCTTCTCCAAACTTCTGTCCACTGATGCTTTGTACTCTTATTAGTCTCTCTAATCGGTCTTGTGCACAACGACGCTGTACATTTGAACTATTAAGTCAATTACAATCAGACATATTAAAGACATTCATCGTGTCCTGATGACTTCTCTGACTCTAGTGCCATTATCAAGTAGACATTTTGGTTTCAAGTGAAATATCCCAACAAGTACTGGATGGATTAAATCAACTATTGTACACAAACAGATTCACGTCCCCAGAAGATACAGACAACTTTACTGATCCTTTAAACTTTCTTCTAGCAACAGAAGTCAGTCAGTCTTCAGGGCGATAAAATGACAGCAGTGTGAACCCACCGTAGAAACTTCATCAAGGGTGATTAGACAATTCTTAGATAGTTCAATAGTTTTGCTTAAATACGTCAGAAGCAAACTGCGATAACAGCACATAACAAAAACACAAGTTCAGTTCCATGAACAAACCCCCAACGTGCCCACTCTCTGCGTCATAACCAACCTATCACATCCAAACCCCTTCAGAACGGGGCTCACGTTCACACTCCATCTGTCTTCCCATGGAGTCCATGTAGCTCGTCCAGGACGCACCAGTCACTTGTGTGTTTTTCATTGTTGTGCCAAAATTATTGCCTGTGTACCTTGATAAGTCGGGCAAAGTGGTAAAATTAAAGTAAGTTGGGTAAATTCAAATTAATCGTTATTTAAAGAAATTACAGAGCCACTCCTGGTTCCCAGAGGATGAATGTTAGAGGTAGCTTGCAGTGAAATATGTCGACATCTATAGGGGGGACTGAAGTTCCCTTCATTTGATCACAAGACTTAAGTTTATGCT